TGAAGATAGGTGGACCAGCCAGTGAGAAAAGGGCCAGTGAAGGGGTTGGGGGTGTAGTCCAGAGGGATGAGCCCCTGCTTGCAGTGCCAACATGCCTGATCAGAGTGAGTTGCAGCTGCTCTAATTCTCAGCCAGTTCCCTGCTAATGTGCCTGAGGAAAGCAGCAGAGGATGGCCTAAGAGCTTGGCTTCCTGCCACTCACATCAGGTTCCTGGCTTTGATCCAGCTCAACGCTGGCTCTTGTGGGCATTTGGGGGAGTGAACCAATGGATGGAAGATATCTTGCTTTGTCACATAAATGAATAAATCTTAATAGGGAGGATGGGTGCTAACAGAAAGCAACCTATCCATGCCTGAGCAGTGGCCAAGCTGCCAAAGGCTCTGGGCAGCAATCCAAGCCCCCGTGCAGCCCATTGCAGGATGCGCCCAGGGTCTGAGATAAGAATCAGCTTGCTGGCAATCTCTCCTCCCACAGCAATGAAGGAGGTAGCGTCTGGCTGATGCAGCAGACTTCTGAGTTTGGTTGCCTTGAGGCAGCCCTGGATATGTAGCCAGCAGACCCTGGAACCTGGGCAGCTGGCAGGGGTCCCCTGCTTCTCTATTACTTCCTGTTTCCACTGTGTCTTTGGCCCCTCACAGACACTCCAAAGCACAGCTATAGCCAGGGACTCAGGATGGGTTCCTGTGGAAGGTACCCTCACATCCAGCGTGGCGGTCTATTTAAGGATCCACGTGGGATTCCCAGCAACACCCTTTGGAAGTCTCTGAACTTCTGTTAAAAACCCCCAAGAGAAAAATCTTGAATCTGTCCCTGGAGCTAAAAATAAATATAGGCTAGGGTCCAGGAACAGGGAACAGTGAGTAAGTGCTGGAGGGGAGCCTCCAGTCTTGCTTCTATTCCATCCAGCCCTGCACGGAAGCCAGAGAGAGCATCCAGAAGGCAGGCCCCATGGGGCCGCCCTCATGTTAGACACTGCGGTGTATAGTGCCCCCGTCTCGTGTGACCCCAGAGGCCTCACAGAGATTGGCTCTAGGCCACCTTTCGGTTTCAGGTCTGGCCTGCCTGTCCTCCTTCCCCTCAGTTCCACACTTGAACCTTTTCAGTGTGCTTTGTTGGGCTACTCTGCCGGCCTTTTGTATGCCATTCTCCCTCCCCGGCATTCTCTTCCACTCTCCCTACCCGTCCTATTGCCTGGCTGCTGTGCCTATTTCATATCTTGGCTGAGGTTCTGATCACTCCCACCCCACATCTCCCTCTATCCTAGTTGAATCCTTGCACTGGAAATTCCCATACCACCTGGAATACCTCCTGCCACTGGTAACATTCAGCACACACTCCGTGATATCTGTTGGCTTCTACACTTGGTCTCCAGGTAGCAGGTGCCTGCCACAGGCTCCCCAAAGCCAGAAGGCAGGCACTCCAGCTGGGTCTCTCTCATGGGTGCCAGGAACACACATCCTTGGGCCATCATCTATCTTCTCTCAGGTGCATTAGCAGGGAGCTGAACTGGATCCCGAGTCGTGGCTTAACCCACAGTACCACATCACACACCTGCTCCTAGCAATCTTTATTGAAGTAGAATCAAACAGATCAACTAAGTCCATGATTCTCATTCCATTTTCTGTTCCCCAAAGGCAACACTATTGAGCATTTAAAACTGATTATATTTTTATAACATGCATATATTGCTGCCTCTTGATTTTTAAGTACTTACTGGTCTTCCCCTAATGGATGCTGTTTACTTAGAGATCTTTCATTTGCTGGTTCATCTTCAGATGATTGCAATAATCAGAGCTGGGCCAGGCTGAAGTCGGGAATCAGGAGCTTCTTCCTGGTCTCCCATGTGGGTGGCAGGGGCCCAAGGACTTGGGCCATCCTCTGTTAGGAATGAGTGAGGAGACTGGAATTGGGAGCTGAACTGCGACTTGAACTCAGATATTCTGACATTGAAAGCAGGTTTTCAAAGCAATAGCTTAAACACTGTGCCGAATCCCTGCCCCCAAATATACACTTCATTTCATCTAGACAAGTCGTCTTCAAAGCCTCTGTCAAGTCCTGGACTGTCAGCCCCTGGCCCTGCTGCACAGAAGCCTGTGTTGCTGTCATTTCCGCGACCCTTAGCATCTCTCTCATGCTGTATCTATCCTCGCCTGGGTCCCAGATCCTCTGAATTCTTGGTTTAGAACCAGGGGAAGGGAACATTTAATTTGGTCCACATGCTGCACTTGTAGGCCCCTTTGATCCACTTTTTTAAAAATAAGATTTACTTATTTCTATTGGAAAGTCAGATTTACAGAGAGAAGGAGTGACAGAAAGATCTTCTGTCTGCTGGTTCACTCCCCAAGTGGCCACGAGAGTTTGAGCTGAGCTGATCCAAACCCAGGAGCCAGGAGCTTCTTCAGGTCCCCCATGTGGATGCAGGGTCCCAAGGCTCTGGGCCATGCCTGACTGCTTTCCCAGGTCACAAGCAGGGAGCTGAATGGTATATGGTGCAGCCGGGACACAAACTGGTGCCCATATGGGATAGCAGTGCTCACAAGGGGAGGATTTGCAAATTGAGCCATTGCACCAGGCTCAGGCTTTTTTTTTTTTTTTAAAGGTGTATTTATTTATTTGAAAAGCAGAGTAGTTTACTGAGAGAGAGGGGAAGGGAGGAAGGACGATAAAGAGGGAGAGAGAGAGAGGTCTTCCATTTGCTGGTTCACTCTCCAAAGGGTTCTATTGGCTGGAGCTGGCCAATCCAAAGCCAGGAACCAAGAACTTGTTTCAGCTGTCCCACATGGGTGCAGGGGCCCAAGCATCTGGGCCATTCTTTGCTGCTTTTCCAGGTGCATTAGCAGGAAGCTAAATTGCAAGTGGAGCAGCTGGGACTTGACTAGCTGCCTATATGGGCTACCAGCATAGCAGGTGGTAGTTTTAACTGCTATACCACAGTACCAGCTTGTAGGCTTATTTTGTGTGTGTGTGTGTGTGTGTGTGTAGGCTCATTTTTAAGTTGACAACTTTGGCTCACAAATGATGTTCTAAATACTCAAATAACCTTTGGGAAAGAGAAAAAAATAAATAAAAAAATAAAAGGGTCCCTATGTTTGATGGTTTTTGTGGAGTCTCCTCTAGCAGCTTCCTGAGACAGGGTGACTGCAGGTCCACCCTTGTACTTGAGTCAGGCTCTGTGGGAACTCACCTAGAAGAGATCGTTTGCCCTGTGGGTGGGGAAGGCAAAGTTGCTGCCTTTCTGATTCCTGATTCTTCAGCGGAACTGAAACCTGTACGGTACCCGTCTGGGATGCTGAGGACCCTCATCTGCCCCATACCCTTTTGCTTCTGGAAAATACTGAATTATTTTATAATTTCTTCTGCCCATGCCCCCCATAACTTTATGGAAATCCCATTCTCTTGGATTGTTTCCCTAATTTGTTCATCTTTTATTTTTCCACGTTGTCCTTTGGCTGTATTTCCTGTTAGATTTTCTGGAAAAAATTTTGTTTAACTTATTTTTAAATTTTTATCGCAAAGTCACATACACAGAGAGGAAGTTCTTCCATTCGATGATTCACTCCCCAAGTGACTGCAGTGGTTGGTGCTATGCCCATCCGAAACCAGGAGCCAGGCACTTCTTCCAGGTCTCCCACATGGGTGCAAGGTCCCAAGGCTTTGGGCCATCCTCAACTGCTTTTCTAGGCCACAAGCAGGGAGCTGGATGGGAAGAGGAGCAGCTGGGACATGAACCAGCATCCATATGGGATCCAGGCGCTTGCAAGGTGAGGATTTACCCATTGAGCCATCGTGCTGGGCCCTATTTTGTTGCCATTTTTTGCCCTTGTGGTTTTATGCCCTGAATAAAAACGAATCCCTGTGTCTGTCATTTCGCTGGGATTTGAGGTGAATTGAGGCCAGAGGCTACACCTAACGATTTAACACTCTCTCTCCCAGGTTGGGGCTGGGTGCTTTCCCCCAGTTCTTAACGTAGGCTTAACATTTAATGAGAGCCCAACACATAAGTTTTGGGCCAAATAAAGTTTTAATTAACATCATGGTCCTTCCAGTACCACTGTCCATTTTTTCTAAATAAGCTGGAACCTGGGCTCTTTGCACCAATTAGCAGTGTCACCTGGGACGAGCCACTTCCAAGCAGGACCTTAATTAACCCTTTGTACTATGTCATGACAGCCTGGGGTGTCTGGCTCAGCACTCAAGCCAGGAGGTTCAGTAACAAAGTGACAATTCCTAGAAAGTTACGCTTGGGCTTCCAGTTAACCTTCACGCTAGAATTCCAAACTGTTCCTTCATGAATGCCCTTCGGGGCAAAATCTGTTTGATGGGAAATCTTCCCGGCTTTTAGAGGAAACTAACGTTAGTCATGGAGGACCTACTATGTGCGCTGCCCGGTCAGCATGGGGGTGCGGACACCTCACCCTTGACTGTGTCTCTCCCGGTGTTAACTCGGTGCCGACCGCGCCCCGTCTTCAGCTAGTTGAAAGCTCCTTACTTACCCATCTGGCTGGCCGAATAGTCCGCGTACGGGCCACTCGGGCCACGCCACTGTCCCGGGCCCGGGAGGTGGCATAGCCCATCTTGGTCCCCACTGGTACAAGAACCCCGCTTCCCCCAACAAGAAACGCGAGGCAAGGCCCTGGGGAAGCAATTTTCCGCCCCGGCTCTGGACACCTCAGAGCGCCCCCATCCCTGTCGGGTCCCGCCGGCGGGCGGCGCAGGTGAGGGCGGGGCGCCGGGGGCGGGGCCCGAGCGGCCCACGCCCCGCCCCCGCGGCGCGGCCCCGCCCCCTCCGCCTCGCCGGGCCGCTCGCTCCGCCCCCTCCGGGCCCGGCGCGCCGGCTCCCGCCTCCTTCCCTCTGCGCCCGCTCCCGCCTCCCTCCCTTTCCGCTGTCCAGGCGGCGGGAGCCGAGCCGGAGCGCACCGAGCCACGGCCGCAGCCGGGCGGGGGGCGCAGAGGCAGCGGCGGCGGCGGCGGCGATGCGGCGGCTCCGCTGAGCGAGTGCGCCCGCTCCTGGCGCCGGTGGGTGGGTGGGTGGGTGGGTGGGGGCGGCCGCGCGAGAGGCGGCCCGGGCCAGGCGGCAGCATGCGGAGCGGCGAGGAGCTGGACGGCTTCGAGGGCGAGGCCTCGAGCACCTCCATGATCTCGGGCGCCAGCAGCCCGTACCAGCCCACCACCGAGCCGGTGAGCCAGCGCCGCGGGCTGGCCGGCCTGCGCTGCGACCCCGACTACCTGCGCGGCGCGCTCGGCCGCCTCAAGGTCGCCCAAGTGGTAGGTGCCGGGCGGGGCCCCAGGTACGAGGCGGGCGGCCTAGCCGTGCACCTTCCCTTCTCAACTCCCGCTGCGCGGGGGGCGCAGGCCCCGCAGGCCTCTGAGGCGTCCCCGCCTCCCGGGGCCAGACCCCGGCTTCGCGCAGCCCTCTCTGCTGCATGGGGTCTTTGGGCCTTCCCCTCCCGTTGCCTCCGAGGAGAGGGGAGACCTTGCCCTCGCCCCACCTTCCGGGGAACCCGCCCTCTTCCGCTTTGCATCCTGGCTGCCTCAGGTGTGCGCCTTCCACCTTAGCACCTGTCCCCAGGCCTACCTGTCTGCTCGCGCCTACCCCACTTCGGGCGCTCGTCGTGGCTCCGTCTGTGCGCGGAGCCCGGCGCGCAGGGTTAATGCTGTCCCTTGGGTATTTACTGGGCTTAGCAACTGTTGGTAGTTTCTCGGGGGCCCTTGCCACCACCTGTGCACGGTCCTTGCCTGTCTCCGTCCCCCGGAGATGGGGAACTTTGGCTTGGTTAGCCCTCTGGCGCCTAGCAGGGTGCCGAGCATATGGTAGAGGTGCAGCAACTGTTGCTGGGCCGCCGGTAGCCCAGATACAGTGTGTATGTGTGTTGGTGTGGGGGGTTGAGTGGGCGCCCGGGTTGGCAACACGGCTTCTCCCGTTTATCTTGTCGAGTTCTGAGCCCTCCTGATGACCCGAGAAACCAGAATGGGCCTCTGGCAGTCTTCTGCCCCAGCATGGTGGCTGGCGCTGCCCAACTGGTACCCAGAGTTAAATCGCTCTGGGAGGACAGCCAGTTTGGGAGGTAACAGAAACAGAGAGCTTTCTGTTGGACTTGTCCGGAGCAGAATGAGCATTCCTCGGGGTCCTTGTTTGTTGCTTCCCCATGTACCCAGGACACGGGCCTGTGCCGCAGTTTTCTAGCAGGCCTCCCTGCGCAGTTGGTTAACAGGGCATGTTACAGAGATGTGTGTGTGTGACTTCTTGGCCCTGTCACAGTGGGCTTTCCTCCGGCTGCTGCAGCGCCCAGCTTTATGTACTTCTCGGCCAGAGAAGCCATTAGCAGAGAACCCCGACGTGTGTGCACTGTGTTTCTCGCGCTTTCTTGAGAGAGGTAAACAAGCATTCCTTGGGGGATCGGAGCAGGCGTGGACAGCCTTTCAGTCCAGATCTGTGTGTTCATTGCAGGAGCAGTATGCGATCTCTGCCACAGGCAGGTCTAACTCCGCTAACTGCTGGGGGAAGGAGGGAGGTGTATTTGGAGGACTTCAGAACAGATTCATGGAACAGGTTGAGTTTTTACACTGACTGACCTTACCCCAGACTCTGGAACGTTCCCTGGGGTGATTGGCTTCAGTGGGGTAGATGCTGCTGTTAGCATAGAGGTGGAGGAGGTGCAAGGAGGAAGGTGTTTGCCATTGTTGCAAGTCCAGGACAGCTCCTTGGAAATGATTAAGTGAGGCTGCACTTTGACCGGATGGAGGGCCTTGTCAGATGTCTGTCTTTGTGGGGTTTTGAAGGTAGACAGAACTTTGCCATTGGTGGATTCACCTGTCACTCCAAGGCTGGTAGAAAACTGGAAATCCAGTGATTGAGGCAGGAATGTTAATTATCACTTCATTGCTGGGACTTTGTTGCCTGTACCCTGGATGAATGTTATCAGCATTGAATATCCTTTTGAGAAGGTGCTGCTTTATGGACCTTTTAATCTGGAACAATTTGGGATCCCAGCCCCTAAGATCCTGCCCAATTCTACCATTGATCTACTCTCTGGAATTCAAGTGGTGAGAACTTGGGTGTGGGTGAGTGAAGGAGAGGCCTGCGCCTGACAGCATGGCAGCTTGAAGGCATCTTCTTTGTGCTCAGCCTTCCTAAAAGCCTGCATTTGTAGAAGGGAAAACCTTTATCGAACTCCAAGAGAGAATGCTTGAAGCTGGGAAAGAAAAGAAGTCAAAACCCGGAGTCCCATCAAGAAATCTGTAGACATTTTTGATAACCCGTACACATCTTTGGTCACCTGTTGCAACCTGCTCTGTGCTCCTTCGGATGTGTCCCACAGACCTACAGCACTGCCTCCTCCTGGGAGAGCCAGTTAGCCCTGGAGAAGCAGGGGCGGGACCTTAGCACGGGGTCACGTTGCTGCTCGGGACAGCTGCATCCCACATCAGATCACTTGGGTTCAAGCCCCCGCTCTGCTTCCAGTCTTGCTGATGTGTGCCCTGGTAGGCAGCAGTTGACGGTTCAGGTGCTTGAGTCCCTGGCACCCATGTGGGAGACCCACTGGAGTTCCAGGCTCCGGGCTTCAGCCTGGCCCTGCCCCAGCTGTTGCTGGCACTTGGGCAATGAATCAGCTGATGGAAGATTTCTTGCTCTTTCTCACTGTTTTCTTTGCATTTCCAATACATACTATTGAATGAATAAAATTGCTGGCATATAGGAGCAGCGCCTCACTCTGGACCTCTGAACAGTAATCTGCAGTTTAACAACTTTCTCCCAGGTGATTCATGTGGACATTAAACTTTGAGATTTAAACTTTTATCATTTGAGGATGAAAACTTTTCACAGGTGCCAGCAGCCAATTCTCTGTCAGAACCATTAGTAGTCAATTAAGGCTGAGATTTTTTTTTCTTTTTCCCATAAAAGGAGCTGGTCCCTCCCGGAAAAAAATTAAGAAAGAGCCATTATGGAAAAATTAGCACCTCACTCGTTAGGCATTTAATTGGTGTAATAAATGTAAGCTATCATTGTTGCTAATTAATATTTCCTGTCTCTAGAGAAACTTGGCAGTAATGTCACCCCAAAATCCTAATTACATATTTGAATAAATATAGCTTAATTTTTGATTTAGGTTTCTTAATGGGATGTTATTTGAGGGTAAAACCAATCTGAAATATTACAAACACTGATTAGTGCCATTGTTGAGATTATATCCTTTCACAATGAAATGGGGACCTACTTTTGGAGCCTGGGAGTGTCTGTGGGGGCTACATCACTTTGTGTGGAAAGAGAGTTGGCTTGACTAACTGACCCAAATCACCTGCCTCTCCCTCGTGTGAATGCTGTGACAACTCATGTTTAACCCTTAGGCATCAGTGAATGGAATAGTAATAATAGGCCATTCACTTGTTAATTCGTTTTAAATTAAATGATTGAAAGAGTTTTGCTCTTGATGTGGAGATTGCCACTGTCATTTACGCTGTGATGTGGGACAAGGCCCCCTACTGGACACAACTTTGAGTAGTAATAGCAGTAGGTATAATTTAATGGGGCCAACTTGACTACCAGCATTTCCATTTTGTGGATTAGGAAACAGGCATAGACGGCATTGTGGGTCACGTGGCTTAGGCAAGGAGGAGCTGGGATTTGAACCTTAGCAGTTTGAGTTAGGAATAGTCCTTCCCCAGTGCAGGAGCTTCCTGTGGTCTGGGAGCATCCAGGGGTCTTGTGGGTGAGTTTGTCGGTGCTGTCAAGCAAGCAGAGGTTCTGGTCTCTCCAAAGGGATGCTTTTTGGAGATGGGAGCTCCTGTTGGAGTTGACGGCTTACCCATTTGCAGGGGTACAGGCGTAGGCCCTCTCAAAGGCATGGCAGTTCCTCCAAGGCCCTGCATTATGGAGTCCTTTTTGCTTCAGGTCTCATTCTCAAACCTCTCCTGACCCCAACCCACCTTTCTCGGTGCAGTGTGTCAGGGACCTGGCGTATTCGTGGGTAGGCTGTGAACACCTAAACCCTGGTGCTTCTCAGCCTCCTCACGGAAAGTGTGCAGTAATAACTCAATGAGCATTTTAGGAGCGATCTGAATGAATGTTTGCTTGAAGCTTTCTTAGGTGACTGAAAGGCAAATCCGAGTATTTGCCTGTGAGGATTGGGTGACAGCATGCCTTTGATTGGATAGCTTTTCATCTCAGGTCAGCCCTCAGAGCCTCCAGACTGGTTCCTGCTACTAAAGTCCAAATGAGAAATAAATGCTAGAAAGTAGATGTGACGGAGCCTGGTACAGTAGCTCAATGGCTAAATCCTCACTTTACAAACATCAGGTTTCCTTATGGGCACTGGTTCATGTCTGACTACTACACTTCCCATCCACTCCCTGCCTGTGGCCTGGGAAAGCAGTGGAGGATAGCCCAAAGCCTTGGGACCCTGCACCCATGTGAGAGACCTAGAAGGAAGCTTGTGGCTTTGAATCAGCTCAGGTCTGGCTGTTGTGATCATTCGGGAATGAACCAGCAGATGGAAGATTTTTCTTTCTGTCTCTGCTCTCTGTAGATTTGCCTTTCCAATAAAAATAAATAAATCTTTTTTAAAAGGTAGATGTGATGTGGGAATGGCTACCTTTGCAAAACAGCAGGCTTGACAAGAGACTGGCTGCTGTCACAGCACTGAGCCAGTTCCCACACCCACCCCTGGCTGTGTAGGAGGGGCTGGTCCGTCCCAAGTTCTGTCAGGTGGGAGCTGATGCCCTGTGTCTGAATACCTGAAGTAGGAGTAGGCGGGCCTGGGCTGTGCCTGTCAGAGGCTGAGGGCTCTGTGTGGGGCCAAAGGTTCCTTTGCCTTTCTGGTGTTAACCTGTCCTGCAGGAATGAGACAGGCAAGATAGTGGCTTTCATGGTACTGGGTTCTCAGACCCTCTGGGTGTGGCCCCATGTCTGGGAAAGATCTCTGTGCAGGCCAGATGAGACCCATGAAATCATTTGGTCAGGCCCTGCCAAGGCAAAAAAAACACTTCAGACAAATATATCTCATTTGGGCCCAGCACAGTAGCATAGTGGCTAAAGTCCTCTCTTTGAACGCGCCAGGACCCCATTTGGGCGTTGATTCTAATCCTGGTGGCCCTGCTTCCCATCCAGCTCCCTGCTTGTGGCCTGGGAAAACAGTTGAGGGCAGCCCAGAGCCTTGGGTGCCTGCATCTGTGTGGGAGACCTGAAAGAAGCTCCTGGCTTCGGATTGGCTCAGCTCCAGCTGTTGCGGTCACTTGGGGAGTGAATCATCGGATGGAAGATCTTCCTC